ATTTGGGTGTAGAACAATAAAATTTAATAAAAAAAGTATATTAGGAAGAACAATTTTGAGAAAACTTAAGTTTTGTTCTAGCAAATTTTGGTACAAGTGATCGTTGGGAAGAGTTAATAAATCGGGTCCCCACTAGTAGTTTCTAAGATATATATATCCAAAGTTAATTAACTTTTATTTACTTTTAAAAAAAATATATTGAGGGAAAAATTTTACAATTAAAACTCTTCCTGACGATCACTGTGTCCAAAACTAAAACTAAAGAAAATCTAGATTTAGAATGCCTTGGTACTAAGCAAACACCCAAAACAGCTTTAAAGAAAAAGTTTGGACAAAAAAAACCAACCATAGTTTCTTAGAACAACTCGGCTTAACACAAACTTAGAAATACAAATTCTTGAAGAATTTTAATTTTTTCCTTTTTGCAAAAACATTAAAAACTTTTCTCCATACTTTTGAGGAATTTGCCTACACTCTAATGTACAGATTACTCTCACTACAAAACAAACCAACACAAAAAGATAATAAGCAAATAAACAAAGTAAAATAAACAGATTAGTAAGCTATATAGATAATAAAAAAACAACAACAGAATAAAACAACAAACATATATGTATACATAACAACAAACAAAACAAATTACATAAAATGCTAGCTTTGGAAGAATTTAAAAATTTTTTCAACAAAAACAAGAACGAAAGATCAATACTTTATAACAAGCAAAATGCAACAATTCTTAAAAAAGATAAGAAAATCGTATCATACCTAGACACGGAGAATTTCCACTTAATAGCTACTATAAGAGAAATTCTGTATATATATGACTGGGCTAAGCAAAAAAAGCTAAGAGAGGATTTGGTAACAGAGGAGAAAAAGAAACAATAGAAGATAAACCTAACTCCAAACATCTCCTAAACAATATAGTTTTAGCTAAAGCAGGACCCACTTCTTTGAAGATTAATCTAATACAAACAATAATTAATAAGTACAGCAATAGTACTAAACAAATCCCCATAGAATTTTCTTTTATTTAACCAAACCAATTTAATGACAAAATGCTAATCGATGAGGTGGAAACCTCTTGCAAGAGAAGCTTTACAGACCAAAAAAATACAAGCACATTATTAGAAAGTAAAGCAGAAACAACTAAAGACATCTTATTACAAAATGAAGCTGGAGCTTTAAACTATGAACTAGAAGAATTCATTAATAAAAGGCAAATCCACAAAAGCAAACTAGGAAAGAATTACTTACAAGGAAAAAAACTAAATATTATGAAGATATCTACAACTTAAACTGGGCACCAAAAGGTAGCTTTACAATTACCACAGCCACAAATACAACAAATTATTATTTTACTCTATAGGACCTTCTTAAAGAAATGAGTGCTAAAGAAATTAAAAAGTATCCCAGTTACTTTGGCACTGCAACAATTTTCACCTGGCAACAAAATTATAATTCTAAAGTAGCATATATTAAAATTATAACAAACATAGAGAAAAAGAAAGCTACTTAAGAGAGAATTGATCAATTCATTTAGACCAAGGCAAAATATACAGAACAACTCCAGGAAAATTTAACAATAGTGAATTAGAGCAAAAAAACAAATATAAAGCTACTATCATTAATGTTCTAAAAATAGCAATAGATAGTTTATTATTATAGCAACTGAAAAACACAAGGTTCAAGCAATGCACATCTTAAACAATTGTAATAGAAACCAAAGTAGAAGGGCACATATCTATTTTAAAACAGAAGCTGATCTTATACAAGCTCAAAAGTACAACCTGTTCTACTTTAATACCAAACTAGAATAGCAAACTATGCTTAGAGATATTAGTGCAAACAGGAATTTAAACAACCTCATTATACACAAAAGCCTTACTATAGACACTAACAAGGGAAAACAGCCTATTTATGAATTAGAAACTTACAACAAGCACAGCTTAGACAAAAAACTGGAGAATAAAAATAGCACTACCAAAACAAACAGGCTCTTTAATGACAACAAAAAGATTAAAAAAAATGAAAATAGACAAAAAGAGAATCTAAGAACTGATATACAAAAAAACAAAAACCTTTAGCTAAAGATACAAGAAACAGTATACAAAACAAAAATAAGACATCAAACAAGAAAAACTCTAACCGAATGGCACTACTCCAAAAAATCTTAGAAAAACTTGATATTCTTGAAGAAAAGCAAACTCAGTTTGCTGATCACTCCTAAAAGCACCTCAGGTATTTTAACAAACAGGAATAAGCATCACACAATATCTTCAAAAGAAAAAGAGGCTTATTCTGAAAAAGAGGATATAACAAAACCAAATGAAACAAAGAATACAATCTTACCTAAAGAAAATAGACAAATACAAAATACACAAAACAGTACAAAACAAGATGATATAGCCAACACTTATCAACTACAAGAGAAGTTAAACCAAATAAATCTAAACTTTCTCAAAATAGGGTTTCACAATATAAATAGAATCAAAAACAATATCTCTAAACTTTAAAAGCTAATAGATACAAGTCTCCGGAAAAATCTAGATATCATAGATATATTAGAAACTAATATTAGCAACAGAGAACTACAACTCAACAAAGTTAACTTAAAAGATTATCAAATATACACAACAAAAAAGCAAATTGAAAAGCGAAAAGGATCAGGAGTAGCACTTTTAATTAAAAAGGAGTAGAACAGGCATTTAATAGAACTAACCACTCTAGACACTTACTCACTTAGAGCCAAATTTGCCTTCAAAAGCTTTATACTTATACTTTAGGTAGTCTACGCTCCATCTAATAACAAGGAAGCACACCTAAAAATATAGCAAAGAATTGTATTAGACGCTATTAAAAAAAATATAAAAACCAAAATGATAATAGGAGGTGATCTAAATACAAAAAAAACTGCTATAGAAGATGATGCACAAATAATCAAAGAAAAAAGCAACTTATTAAAGCCATCCCACTCTGCTCTAACAAAATAGCTTAAAAGATCAGGTTATGTAGACACATTTAGACTAAAAAACCCCAATAGTAACAAATGCACCTGGTCAAATAGCAGATCCAGTTCAAGAATAGATTACATATGAGTAGACCCA